TGTAAATACATATGTAAGTGCAATTTGACCCATTTAATGATGAATTCCATTAAATGTGTTGAAATGTATAATTAAGTCATATTTGTATTATGACTTAAATACATATTTATTTAATATAATTATAATTAATATATGTCTTTAAGTTATATATTTGTATACATACATATATATTTATTTACTGTGGGCATTTGAAATTTTGATAAAGTCTTAAGTCATATGCATATAATTATGTGTACTTGTAAACAGATTTTAAAAAACCATACGCATAATGCTCACATATCCACGTATGTATGTAATTTTGTGTTCATGTAAACAAATTTGAAAGAATCATTCGCATTATGTKTGTAAATTTGTCTAGACACAACTGTATATGTAAATATATACACCCATTGTTTCATACAAAAACTCCGTTGTCACGGACCACCAAACTTTGTCAAAAAGTCAATGGTAGAAAGTCGGAGCTGTACCGAAACCGCTTCCCTTGCCGCTGTACACCTTACAACCCAGCGTAAATATGTACATATGTTTAAGCGTGAGCTTGCATACATATCGACGCAGCTGCGTAAAAATATTTCAGCATTGCAAAATATCAATCAAAGATACAGATATTTATAGTTAGTTAAAAATAAAAATATAATATGGTACATAAGCGACTGCGGATGCTTAAATAAGTCGTACTTAAAACAGTAATTTCTTGGCATTTCAGAAAACAAACCGTGACATGCAGCAAGATATAATATAGGCTGTTAAGGGTGATGAGGGAGGGATTTGATTTTCATTTAAGCGACAAATCGACAAATAAACTATGTTGTCAATTTTATTCTATATATATATTTGCGGGGTTGTGACTTTTTCCTTCCATAAAATTTCAGAAATAAATTCAATTTATGAATTTTAGTTTTTGAAATCGTCGCGAAAAAACGCTTGTAGGCAAGGCATGCTCGGGGAGATGTAATGGAGTCTGCTATTATGAATTAACCGAATATGCTTTTTGAAAGTACGTTTGCGTTCATGAATGAAAATTTTGTTGTTGTGTAATTTACTATAATTTTGACGTCGGCAATTTCGCTGCCATATTGGTTTCTGATGCCTTTTGAAACGATTGTTGTTTTTGTAGAACAATATTTATAATTTTTGCTGGTGACATATTCACATGTGAACGCATGTAAGTATGTATGTTGTGTATGTATTGTTTGTGTGGGAATGTCATACGCACATACGTATATATGTACATGTGTACTCATATCGTAAGTATGTATGATGATTTTTGAGACTAWTGTTGTTTTTCCAGAAGAATGTTTGTATTTTTTGATTTACATGCGTACGCATATATTATTTGTGTGAAAATGTCATWCGCACATACATACATATGTGTGTACGTAAATATAGAGAAGCGCGCGCTTTTTATATTACTGATAAATGATAATAACTTGATTTGTACTGACATCCATATCTGCAGGATAGATGCGTATGAAAGTTTTAAATGATAAAAGGTGTGATTTATATATATTTTTTTGTAATATATTAAGTTTTTTAATGGCATTATGATAATATATCACATATGAAATTATATAATATTATCAAAGATAAGAAATATTTAATTTGCCCACTAACTACAAATATTGCTTGGAGAATTGCATAAATTAAAGATAATGTTATCAATTTTGCATGAATTCACAAAAATTCGCAAAATTATATTCAYATCAATTGATATGATAGCATGTAAGCTTATAAAAATATAAGCCAAAAAGCCAACAAGCGTCTGTAAAAGCCATGTATATTTCAGAGCATAAGTCTCATTGAATTCTCAGCTCTGTTTATTCATTTCTGTTGAAGTTTCTCCTGCCGAGAAACTTTTGTAATGTACAACACATAGGTGACGTCATGGATAATATGATACGAGACTCTTTGATTCGAGAGAGAGCTGTCAAAACTCGCATTTTTTATAACATTTGCCAATGATGCCACTGCTGAAAAATATTACCTTGGGTAGTTAATAAATTATACAAAATACTAAATTAAACACTTTGAAAATGCATGCATATATAAATGCTAAAATGCAAAATCATTAATTAATTTACATAAGCATTTACTTTGCCAAAATATGTTCGCACAGTTCAATGAAATTTCATTTCACACTAATTTCGTCAGGTAATTATAGCGGTTTATTTCTGGCATCCCGCCTTTTCTTAAATCAACTGTCAAAAATTCCCTGATCTCCATCGCTGTCAAATAATCAGGGAACGCGTTTGAGAGAAAAAGAGAGCCAATGCTAAAGTCTCGTATCATATTATCCATTGGTGACGTATTCGCTAACAAAACTATTTGCTACCCTTAACAGACCTTAAAAAGATTTTATAACAAATGTATGTCAATAGGGGTATTCTCTTGCTCTTGCAAAACCCTTGCACTGTGCAAGAATTGCAGATTTTTCCACCTAATACAAGGGCACAACAACAAACACACGCAGAAAAAGTTTTGCAGGGCTGTAAAAAAAACATAAAGCCATGTTTATTTTCGTGCAATGACACGTTAAAATATGACTGCAACCCTGCTTTAGCTGTCATTTTACACAAATACATATTTTGACGTTAAATTGTTGAGGAAGGTAAATTTTAAATAGACTTTATAATTTTTATTTAAATTATAGAGATTCGTTACATTTTTTTGGTAAAAATTAATTCAGCCAATTCACAGTAGTCACGGACAATAAATTGACCGAATCAGCCCTATCACTAGATTCTGCAATCTGCAATATACTTGAGGATCTCCTTATTCTGTTTTCAGAAACATAGCAAACAGGTACACATATGAGAGTAACTAAGAACAAGGCAGCATGCAATATTTGCAATTGGTTAGAGCGAAAAACCCATTGAGTTTAAAATGGTGATGTTTTACTGTTTTCCTACTTTCTTAACAAAAGTAACAAATATTTCGCAATTCAATTCGCAATCCTTAGTCACTAATTTTGAGGTAAGGCCTCAATTTGTGACTAGTTACTATTCACAACAGTTACTATTCTTTACTCATATAATATTGCCTCAAATTTGTGATCTGATAGTCAGCAGGTTACAAAACTTAGGAGACCTTTTGTTTAGCATTTCTAATATACTGAATAGAGATTTTCGGAGGATGGAGTCATGTGTAGAAGTTAACGCAAGTGGGGAAAGTTCTCTGGTCGCCATTCACTTGGGAATGGCCAGACACGATTCTTTTACGTATAACTCAAGCAGCTCACGACCTCCGATCTTTGACCAAGTATTCTCTGGGTAGTCTAAGAACATCCGTTTGAAGGCGAGCTAAAGTGAGAAGGCGAAACATCCCCTCCGCAGGGTTGAGCGTTGGGTTTGGGACCCGCCACGTAAAAAAACATACCAATGGAAAGGAACAACAAGCCTAGGATGAGTGATCCCCCTTTTGATGACGACCATAGCAAAGGAAATAAGGGCTACGAATTGAGGGCATGCACCTGGAATGTCCAGTCCGTTAATTTGGAAGGTGCCGTTGCGCAGCTGGTTGATGACGGGACAAGGATAGAGGGGAGTAGGTCCAAAAAATTCTAGAAATTGCAAATAAAATACTGGAGAAAATAATTCGATCTGCAGAACTTAATACAGCAGGTACAATCTTCTATAAGAGTGTTGGCTTATGCTTATGTTATTGATATCGTTGGTTTCAACACCCTCACCGTTAATTCTGCTTTCTCCAGAATGGATAAGGAAGCGAAACAAATATGTATGTCTGGTAGAGAGACGAGAGCAAGACACAGGAGATATGCCATCAAACAAACAGACGTCGCACTGACGACTTATCTCCAACGTCACTGTTGACCATCTTAAATTAACATCAACAACAGTGTCAGCCTCGAAATCCAACGCAGAATAACGCCAACAAGTGCTACATCAGACTTAGTATGCAATTATGAAGTAAACTCATTTCTCGATGAACAAAAAGAAAGCTCTATAAGTCATTTATTATTCCCGTTCCGCTATGAGATGAGTCGACGTTATGAACTTTCGATTGTTAGGTTCTGCGGAAGATTTATGGTACTTTCCGCATTGACAACGGCGAATATCGCATTCGATGAAACGATAAGCTGTATGAGATATATGACGACATTGACATAGTTCATGTAGTCCGAATGGACGAAAACACTCCAGCTCTGAAAGTATTCGATGCTATACCCGGCGGGGGAAGCAGAGGAAGAGGAAGAGCTCCACTCCGTTGGAGGGACCAAATGGGAAAGGACCTGGCTTCGTTTGGAATATCCAATTGCCGTCATATAACGAAAAGAAGAAACGACTGGCGCGCTGTTGTTAACTGGGCTATAATCGCGAAGACGTTGTCTATGCCACTAAAGAAGAAGAAAAAGAATATCAATTGTCTTCTTTTATATTTTGTGAGTACCTCAAACACAAAATGAAACAAAGTCAACGCATATTTTTATTTTTATTGGTAATTATGCTTTTTGACTARAGGTTATATAAATAGTATATGTTATCGACATATTTATTTTCATTCAGGTGAAAATATATCTCTATATATTGAAATGTAAGAGCTGGTTTGACCTGTTTACTTTCAGTTTTAAGATTTTTGTCACTTACTGAATTAAAAAATCGTCTCAAGACACAAAAATTATATAATTTAAAATCCAAATTTTAGAGACTTGCGTCTGTATCACAATACAAATTTCATCGGTTAATATTTTCTATCGACATATTTTTTTCAAGTTGATATACATAACTAAATAATGAAGGATAAGAGCTGATTAGTCTTGTTCGTTTTCAATTGAGAGACTTTTGTGACTGTCATGTACTGAGTTGCAAAATCATCTCAAGTCAAACAAATTATCTCTAATGTAAAATCTCAATGCTACTTGTTAATGACACCAGACTTGCATTAATATTTGGACATTTATTGGTCAACTTTAGCTATGCGGAGTCTCCATAGGCTAGCAATACAGATTTTAAGCAATTTTAAATTGCCTGTGGAAACGGGCTGTTACTGTTCAATATGAATGTTTCGTCATGAAGTTGACTGAAATGTAATTTGTAAAAGGTTTTTGCGTTAACACAAAACCTAATAAATTTTTTAAAGATATGCTTTGGAGTATTAAAAAAACATATTATTAAAGGTGCAGTGCAATAACAAGGAAACATTATCGCGAATTATATTTAGGTTCTGTGCTTAAAATAACTTTCTAACTGTTGTTGCATGGCTCCGACTGAGTTCTGGTAAGTACAAAATGGCGGACGAATCTAAAATATATATGTATGTATATACATGTTATTTTTAACATGCATCTTGAAATAAATTTGTTTGTTATTATGTGTTTTCAGGTGAAAATTTTCAACGTAAGGTAAGTTTTGTTAAACATAGAGTGCTAAAAGAAGGGACTGTTTACAACGAGTTCTGCGGCCTGCCAGCAGAAAAAACTTATTTTTGTGACTGTAATATGTCTGAAGCTATAGCTGCACCACTAATACCTCAACTGCAAGAGATGCAGCAACAACAACAACATAATGGCGTTAATACTAATGCTACGAACCCTCAGCAATGGTATTCCAATCCTTGGTATGCTAATCAACAATACCAACAACAATATAGTCAATATTATCAATACTACATGCGATATGGATTACAACAACAGCAGCAGTCTCAACAAAACAATAATGCACCTCCTGGCTTTAGTAATTTGGTAAGTCAACATACCGATAAAAGTTTGCCACCATTACCATCTGGTCCACCGCCTCCACCGCCAATAACCCCTGGTAACAATCAGTTGCAAGGTAATCAAAAGGGTTTTGGTGGAATACGTTTCAACTTGAATCAACAGAAGCGTTTAGCGAATGCTCCCAATCCTTTACAAAATTCAAGTTCCCCGATGAATACTTCAACTTTCCAAAATAATGCGGCTAACAGCGGTGTGAATGCAACAACCATGAACAACATAATTGGCAGCGGTAAAAAAAAACGTAAACGTAATAAGAAACAGAATCCACTACAACAACAGCAGCAGGCTGCTTTCGATGCTCATTTTGAAAATTTGAATACAAGTCAACAAATGATGGGAAACTTCGTTAACACATCTTTACCACCACCTACAGTTCCTCCTCCTATATCTGCAGATTTATCGAAACCGCCTCCTCCAATCATGTCATATAATAATTTCAATGTGAATAGTGTTAATAAACAGGGCGAAACAAAATCACTTACTAACCATGTCAGTTCTGTTGAAACACCGAATAAGAAATTAAATCTATTTAATAATCCAAATGATGCTTGGCCAGAGTCTTTAAACAGTTATGTAGCTCGTTGCTATGCTAAATGCGCTACCGATTTGGATAAGGACCAAGTTGATATATGTTTGAAAGGAAAAATTATGGCAGCTGCTAATCGTAATGAGCTTTGGACTCGCGATTGGGACAATGAGCCAGTACCGAGTGTTCATAGCGAAAGAAACAATATCCAAATGCAACTGTACAATCAGAAAAATAAGCAACAACAGTCACAGGATCAAATAAAAGACACACAAAATTATAAACAGCACCATAATCAAAGTTGCCAGAAACAATCAACACAACAAAAGAATTTAAAAGGTATATCACATAGTTTAAACGCTCGACTAGGTCAACGGAACTCCTTTGGTGGCGACAAGAGGACATCAAGGGATTCTAGGAGTCGTTCACGGTAAGATATATCTAGGAACTCTTTGTTATTAGAACATAGTACTCAAACTTTTATCACTTTTTTTTTAGCTCTCCACAATCAAATAAATATCGCAAGCGAAGTACTCGTTCACGTTCGTGTAGTCCCATATCAAGTCCGCGCCGAAAAATCTGTCGCAGTTCTAGTTCGGAATCTTCTGATCGGCGATCTTCCGATAATTTCATTCCTTTTAATCCCTCTAGTAAAAAGACACAAAAAGCTAATACTTCGAAAAGAAGCAAACATGTTAAAGGCGCCAATTCTAAATCTAAATTACCCTTTTATTCGTCTTCTATCGGTGGGGCGGTTGATGATGATACTACCCGTTTGCAACAGCGCGCAGCACGCTTTTCTCAAGGATCGCAAAAGTCGGTTATGTCGGTAGCAAGTTCCCCTTTCGTTGTTTCGAAGCAACAAAAACAAAAGAAATTGGTAAATAGTTTGGGCGGGCGTATGTGTATGGATATTGAATCGACGGGTGGTTTTGAAACAGGTTTGGATTTATTCGATTTACATATAGTAGGTACATGTAGGGACTTGGAAAAGTCATTTCTTCGACTAACCAAGGCGCCGTTACCATCGGAAGTGCGGCCCATTGAGGTGTTGGCGCATTCGCTGCAAAATGTGAAACAAAAATGGAGGGACAATCAGGATTATTATTATGCATGTGATCAACTTAAATCTATACGTCAAGATTTGACAGTAAGTGTTTCGAATGTAGATAGTGCTATTATTAGAGTCCTAAAAAATGTAAATTTTCCAGGTACAAGGTATTCGTGATAAGTTCACAGTAGAAGTATATGAAACACATGCACGTATTGCAATGGAAAAAGGTGATCATGAAGAGTTCAATCAATGTCAGACACAATTAAAAATGCTTTATACGGAAGTGGGAGCTAGTGTGAATTCATTGGAATTTACAGCATATCGTATATTGTACTATATATTTACAAAAAATACCTTGGGTAAGATCATCTAAATTAAATACTATATTTTTAATTGATATTATTTAATTATTTTATAATTAGATACAACCACTGTTCTACGCTCAATAAAACAAACTCAGCGTGATAATCCAGCTATTGCTCATGCCCTAGCCTTTCGGTCGGCTTGGGCTCTGGGTAACTACTGCAAATTGTTCCAACTTTACAAGGCCGCGCCTCTGATGGCGGGACATTTAATTGACTGGTTTATCGATAGAGAACGCAAGTGCGCATTACGAACTATTATTAAAGCGTATGTAAAAATTTCACTGCTCCATAAAATCATACTAATCTCAATATTTTCGCAGTTACCGACCATCTATTGGCATTGACTATGTTTCAAATTTACTTGCTTTTGGAAGTAAAGAAAAATGCAAAGAGTGGTTAGAGACATTCGGCATGCCAATGACTGGCACTGAAAGTGATCATATTGATTGCAAAGTAGCAGCAACAATGAATATCTAATTAAAATACTGTATTGGGTAATAAGGAAATTATACCGTGGAGTGATATTTTGAGCGTTGGCGGAAATTACAACATTATATAGAGTGACTGTGGAAAAAAACATTCTTTACGATGAAACCAACCATTTAGAGCTCAAGCACCCCGACAAAAATTTATCAGCTTGCGAAACACCTCATTGGGTTCACTTCATGAGATATAGTAGTATTTTGTACGTCAGGTGTTTTAAATTCACGCGGTACAAACTTTTTTAAACGTTTAAAATTTACAATGGTTAACGCTCGGTAATTATTGTGGGGATTACAAATTATTTAAAAAGTGAGAGGGTATTTCAATCTAAAATTTTACGCGCGATCTTTCGATACACATCAAATTAAGTGAACAAAGCTAAAAAAAACTTCAAATAAATTTATATATCGCGTAAAGACTTTTTCGGTGTGTTGGAAACGGTAAGCAATTTTCACACGATATAAAAATTAAAAAAAAAAATTCGGTTACCGCGTTTAAGAGATTCTCCATATCCACGGAGCACATAAAGTCAATCATATAAAAGGAAAAGTAAAAAATCAAAACCACGCTGATKGGATAAACATCTCATAAAGTCGAAGTATATAGTCAGCAACTGTTTCTTGTCGGCCATGATATATATACTTTGGTACACGACCTGTCGCAATGAAAAAATTATTTACTTTATATTGAAATAATGGTTTTTAAGTTATACCATTGAAACGAGGCTTAAAAGTTACGTTGTTAAATTCTCGATTCAGTACGTCATCAATAGGTTTAAATATTTTTTAATTGATGCAACTCTTTTGAAGTCAGATATACTACTTGTAGTTATGTATCTGTGATTATGCTTATGAGAACAATTTGATTTGTTCCCTCAGCAGATTTATAATACTAAACAATTATTTAAAATAGGGCGCAATGTTTATTATGTATAGGCTTCACTATCCAGAGGATTATTGTGAATTTTATCATATAAATGTAAATTTTCCTAATGTTTTTTTTTTGTCTCTTCTACAATTATCGTTGATTTTTTATGAACTTTATAAAATTTATTGCAAAATTAAGTGCTTTCTAAGATGATGGAATGTTRAAGCCGCTGTTGGTTTATCCTCGTGCTATCTTCAACATTTAGAATTGGATACCTCGAAAGTGAAAACGTAAACTATACAATTGTCTACTATTTCGACCCACATAACTACAACACGGAAATGTCTCAACAGCAACGTCGCATCAAACTTCACCTTCAATTTTCAATGCACAACCAGAATGGAAATTCGTTTAAGCAGCACGGCCATCATGCTATCTTTAATAATAACGCGATGAGTTCGCTGATTTTATTAATTATTACATTTAAAGTACTTTTAAATGTATTAGGAATTTTTAAAGGTTCTAGATTTAAGTATTTATATATGTATTCATAACTGTTACTGATTTCTGATTGTTTTTTTGTTTGGCATTTGAAAGCAGCTGCCAAAAAAGATTGCTCTCGTCATTTGCATATGGTTGACACACGTCTGCATGAACATACAATAAATTAGAAAYTTAAATGTTTTGTTTCAATTTTAATTTTAAATCTAAAAAAAAAGTACTGGCTAAAACCTATCGACTGTTGTTGCAGCCAGGAGTGTAAACACTCTTTAGAGCAGATCAAGGGAAGGAGGTATAAGACGCGTTGGTTTCAAAAGGCTTGTAAGAGGTGGTAAATGTTATGCAGGAACACTGCAGAACATCTCAGTATGTCAAAGTTTATTCTGGCAACTCGAGCTTTTGTTCTGATATCCCATGACCAGGAAAASGATGATTTCTGTGGAAGCGTCTCTACATACGCTGCTTCTATGTCAATTCGTTGTGTTTCTTGGCCGATTGTGCAGGTGTTTTTCTGTAGACGTTAAGAGCCATTTTGTAATGTGACATATTGTATTCATGTGACGCAAGTGCTACTTGGCCAGTGATTTAACGGTCTTGTTGTACACCAGACACTTGATTATAATTGCAGTCACTTTACCATTGAAATGTTTCGAAAAAGGCTCAAAAATAATACCGCTCGACTTTCGCACACCTCAAACTTCAAACGAGTTTTTCTTAAAACACACTTTTTTAAACTGGCGGACATGATGCTGGTCGAACTACTGTTTGTTTTAACGGTTATCAGTCCCCGTTAGGATGGTGAGGGAACGTGCTGTTTCGACGGGGTCGGACCAAAGGGAAAGGGTGTTAGATGGGTGGGGTTGGTTGGACATGCATAGAGGTGGTGAGTGTCATGCGGAGACTCGTTGCATGCAGGACATACATTAGGTATGTCAGGGTCTAYTCTGGATAAGTAGGAGTTTAACCTGCTACAATATCCGGAACGAAGTTGCGCAAGGGTCGCTCGCGTTTCTCGCGGCAACTCGAGCTCTTCGTCTGCTATGGGTGGTGGTTTGACTCCAAGTACGCCATGCACGGGAAGGAAGTCGGTGAAGGTGTTGATGGCTCCACTGTGAATGGCGGTCAGTGCCTGTCGAAAGTCAGTCCAAGGTCCTGTCGGCGTATTRTACGATGTCGTCGACGTGGTCAAGGAATGACCTCTTGATGCTCCAAGGAGGCGGTTCCGCTCCAAGCAGATGACTGCAAGGATGATTTGTACGAAAACATCCTAGCAGGAACTGCATGGAGAGGAGTTCATTATGCTCCTTAACTGGGAGCATAAGCGTCTCACTATGTAGGTGTTCGATGGGAGATATCAGAGGCAGACCGTCGTGGTCCGGAGTACTGTATTCTGCCAGGTCTGGAGTTTTCTCATCTGCATSCCACTGCATCCAGGCGACCATGTGTGTGCTGCGTAGTTAAGGACTGGCCGGCAGATTTTTATCCGGCCAAGGACTGTCAACTCGGCAGAATTCTGCCGTTACAACGACAACAACAACAACCGGCCGGCAKATTGCCTTGTAAGTTGCAACAACGTTTCTTTGTCTTTTCCCCATTTGCTGCCGGCTAGCGACTTGAGGATTTTGTTGCGGCTCTGTACTTTGGCGATAATCGCGGTCGTATGGGGAGAGAAGGAGCATAGACTGTYGAAGATGACTCCTAAAATCTTAGGGTTTTTGACTACAATATTAAAATCCAGTCTATACTCCTTCGTCCAGTTCGTGAATATGGTCGCTGTGGATTTGGTGGGGGAAAGTTGGAGGTTCCGTGCAGTGAGGAAACGAGAAAGGTCGGTGAGGTAGTTGTTTACCTTCGAACACATGCCATCGATTCCATTGCCCGACGTCAATATCGTACAGTCATCTGTGTACGAGGTTATGGAAACCCCCACTGGTGGCTGAGGGAGTTTCGAGATGTAGAAGTTAAAACAGTAGCGGGGAGAGGGCACCACCCTGCGGAACCTCCTATTTACTTCTACTCAAGATCAGACAACTCCCCCCCAGACGCAATCCTCGAAAGGCGAACTGGGATACTTTCAGAGAGATACTACGTGAGGAACTAAGCGGGGTGGGGCAGACTGACAATAGCGCTACAGGCCCAGGACTGGAGAGTAGGCTATCAGAGCTGAACGAGGCTGTTCGCGCTTATCACGGCAGCTGCCCCCTAAAAACTACCACAGATCGACGAAACTGTCCCTGGTGGTCAAGGAAACTGGCAAACCTCCGGAAAAAGGTACGCAGCCTCTTTAACAAAGCGAAGCGTACAGGGGTCTGGGCAGAATATAGGAGCTATCTCACCTTGTATAATAAGGATATTAGGTCTGCAAAGCAGGCAAGCTTCAGAAGTTTCTGTGAAAATGTCAACTCTACACCAGAAGCGGCGAGACTGCATAAAGCAATGGCTAGAGGTACAAATGATGCAGTACTAGCAATTAAAAGGGGTGACGGGACTGTCACGGCCAGCGCAGAGGACAGAGCAACGGAGCTTCTGCGTGCACACTTTCCGGAGACTGTTCGGGAAGACCAATGCCTACCCGTCGTCGAACACAGGCCATCCCGCGAGAATTGGAGAGTCGCCAAACAACTGCACACAGCGGACTCGATCCGGTGGGCAATGGCCTCGTTCGAAAGATTCAAGTCTYCAGGAGTGGATGGCATCTTTCCAGCGCTGCTACAACAGGGGGAGCAGTTTTTACTGCCTCACCTGATTCGGCTGCTGAGRGAAAGCCTCGCAATGGCGTACATCCCCGAAGCATGGAGGACAGCGAAGGTGATCTTCATACCCAAAGTAGGTAGAAAGGACTACTCATTGGCGAAATCTTTTAGGCCAATCAGTCTAACGACTTTCTTACTCAAAACCATGGAGAAGATCGTTGACCAGGAAATAAGGACGAAAGCGCTGAAGAGATCACCCCTGCATGCGGCTCAGCATGCCTACAGARCGGGCAGATCTACAAGCACTGCTCTGTACCAGCTAACTTCCGAGATAGAGAGTACACTGGAAAATGGGGAGGTGATGCTCTGCGCTTTCTTGGATATCGAAGGCGCCTTTGATAACACGTTTCATAAAAGCGTAGCCAGGGCACTGGCGAAAAGGAAGGTGTCAGCACCGGTGCGTAGATGGATAGAAGCCGTACTGCGCACTAGAGTAGCTGAGACCACAGTAGGCGTCGAAAGAATTCGTCTCGGCACAACAAGAGGCTGCCCACAGGGGTGTGTGTTATGACCCCTGCTATGGAGCCTGGTCGTAGACGACCTGTTAGCGATGCTAACGGACAATGGGATCCGCTGCCAAGGGTATGCGGACGATATTGCAATTATAGCAAAGGGCAAATTTGAGGACACTCTCTGTGACCTAATACAAAGAGGTCTAAACCTGGTAAAGGGGTGGTGTAGGGAGGTTGAACTAAGTATCAACCCCTCCAAGACGACCGTAGTCCCGTTTACGAGACGAAGGTCCCTACCCGGCCTAAGGAATCTCACACTCAATGGCAGGGAGATATAAATGGCCAACGAGGTCAAATACCTAAATACCTCGGTSTCATGTTAGACTCCACCCTGCGGTGGAAGCAACATGTAAACCTGACCCTGGTCAAAGCGACAAAAGCTTTAATGGTGTGCAATCGGCTAGCGGGCAAGTCCTGGGGTTGTAAGCCAAGGATTGTTAGATGGTTATACACCATGATAGTGCGACCAATAGTCACGTATGGGGCGGTGGCCTTAGCCTCAACAGCGTCGCAAACTATGGTGAAAACCAAGCTATCGAAGCTGCAGCGAATGGCCTGTGTCTGCATGACGGGCGCAATGCGCACCTGTCCAACAGCAGCACTGGAGGTTCTGTTASARCTTACYCCGCTTCATCTGGTTATAGGTCAGGTAGCCAAACACACCCTCCTGCAAATAACGGCATAGGGGTKTGGCAAGGATGAGTGGAATGACTCCCACTTCGAACTGTTTTTGATAGACAACACGCTAAGGTGGTACACCGACGGCTCGAAGATGTCGGAGGGAATTGGTGCAGGGATCGTGGGCCCGAGCACAAAGCTCTCCTTACCCATGGGAGTATTCCCAAGCATCTTCCAGGCAGAAGTGCTTGCCATAAGTCGGTGTACTGATATAAATCTCCATCGCAACTATCGCAATGAGAGAATAGYCATTCTCAGCGTTAGTCAAGCGGCACTGAAAGCGATCTCCTCCTATGAGACCAAATCGCTTCTAGTGCAGGAGTGTAGGGAAAGGCTGAATAGCCTTGCGGAACTAAACCAGGTACACCTGATATGGCTGCCTGGCCACAAAGGGATAGCCGGCATCGARCTGGCGGACGAGCTCGCCCGCTCTGCAGCCTCCACCAAGATGGTAGGACCTGAAGCCTTTACCGGAATAGGTCCCCATACCATAAAGGAGCTACTCCGCAAGGAAGAAGGAGGGGGCAGAAAGGAGCATTGGCAACTAACACACGGTTTGAGGCATGCCAAGCTGCTTATTGGAGGATACAACCTAAGTAGGTTCAAAGTTATCATTAACCTCCCCAGGAGCAAACTCAGGCTGCTGGTCGCATGGTACACTGGTCATTGCAGGCTGAATAGGCACCTATACAACATGGGCCTATCCGCCAGCGCTAACTGCCGGTTCTG